GAGGAGCGGGGGGGGGGGGAAATCCCGGGGGGGGGGGGGGGGGTTACTGACAGTCATCGCTCTCTGCAAGTAGATAATCGGGTAGTGAGTGGATTAATGCCTGTTTCTGCTCACTTCCCCATCAATAGAGCCGACCTGTGACAGTTTCTCTCCTCACCTCATAGTTCTCATTTAACTATTAGAAAAACGAAATGTTCTGAAAACAACATTTTACTAGCGTATGGCCAACTTTACTCTGCAGCAGAGAAAAATCGAGTCTTATGCTCTGCTAGACGAAGCTGCAGTGTGTAGATGAGCTGTGAAAATCTCAGGACTGCATACAGAGAAATTCAAATCCTTTGGCAGGTAAAAAAGGTCTATTATATGTATTTTATCTGTGTGTTCAGCTGTTTTGCAGGAGTTCAGCTGTAAAGCAGTAGTAATAATGAATACTGCATAATATTTAACAAGGCCCAAATATATTCAAGAGTTCAAGAGTTCTTATTTTTTAGTGTCATAACCTATAACAAATAATCAGAATTCACACTGCTCAAGGCAGACCACTACAATATGTATTATGACTGGCCACTATAGGTAACTGCACTCAAAGGTAAACTATAGTGTCTTAGGCCAATTTAATCTTTACAATCCCACAGCTCGGTGTTAATGTTGATTGACGGGGGCGTGTCCTAGAACTCATGGCGGCAGGACGCACCTAAGCTGAGCTCCGGGCCTCCCCTCTCTGCAAGCTTGGACATCCCGTCCATAACTCTACACTCGTGCGTACTCAGGGATATAGACCGGGACACATTCAATAGACATACCGATATGAAGAAGGGCACAGGACGCTCCGGTTCATTTTAGTGACGGACAAGATGTTTCGCTTTTTGGCTAGATGGTATTATAGCCCGGAAAGGATACATAAAATGCATACATCTAGGTCGAGTGCCTGTTGGAAGGGGTGTGGAGAAGTGGGTACTTATTTACACATGTGGTACCGTTCTGGATGCAAGTGATAGATAGCATTAGATGTGTGACTAAGGTATCTATACCTATGGAACCAACAGTATGCTTACTCCATGCTACGGATGTTCCAGTGCAGATATATAAGAGATCATTGATCCCTCCGCTGCTTAATGCTGCCAAAACCTTAATACCTCTATATTGGAATAAAACAGCCATCCCGAACAGGGTAGATTGGTATCAAAGAGTAGAGTATTATAGAACAATGGAAGAACTGACGGCAATTAAGTACGACCAATATGAGAAATACGAAATTAAATGGCAACCGTGGAGAAGGTTTGGGCAGACATTGGGGGCGGCGGAGGGTTCATAATGATCATAATGTGTAAGCTTGGGATGTGTTTTCCTTCTTTGTTCTCTGAATGCCTAGAATATTGTAGAGTGGGTAATACTTATAAATATGATAATTGAAAAAAGCTGAGATGAATTTATAAATGTAAAATTGTGTATAATAATGAGCGCTCGCACTAATTTCCTTCCCCTTCCCTTCCTACCCCTTCTTCCCTTTTTTTTTTTCTTTCTCTCTCCTTTTCTTTTTCTTTCTTCAGTATGTGACCCCACTAGGTGGTCGGGATATTACATTTGGTAAGGATTAGGGGTAATAATTGGGCCTTAGGTAGAGTATTTAGGAAATGATATGCTGTTAAATATGTCTTTTAAACTTACTGTTATCATGTATTTACATAATTGGATACCTAAAGGTACATGAAAGAGAATGTAATTATCTTTCTTTGTTTTACTGAATAATAATAAATAATTAAATTGAAAAAAAAAGAAAAGAAAAAAAACAATCCCACAGCTCCATGGTTTTAATCACTCTATCGGAAAAAGAAAAGCACACATTAGCGGGTAAGGACACCTCTATAACATGGTACATGAACATTCACAGTCACTATAACAGATCTCAAACTACAGACACGGAGGCATTACTTTCTATTGACCCTCGTATTGTACATACATGATTGCTCATCAGCAGTACATATAATGCATGCATGTTGTTTTTTTACCTAGACCCAGCAGTTCTAGCAGAGGTTAACAAATGGAAGGAACAGTTGCTTGAATACTCTGCTCAAGAAATTGGAAAAACCTTAGTATTTCTAAATGGCTCTTCTCTGGAGTGTCGTTTTCGGGAGTGCAATATGGGAAACCTGATTTGTGATGCTATGGTAAGAGACTGAGTTTAAATGTTTAACCAATATACTGTATACACTATTTTCCTTTTGTAGCATGTACTTTTCCTGAAAGCATTGAAAAAAATGAACTTACACTTTAAGCCTACATTTTTTTTCAGTCTAAAAAAAGGCACAGACAAGACACTTTTTGCCTTTTTCCAATAATAAACATATATATTTTACATTGTTGATGATTATTAATATTATTAGCATTGTTTATTTTTAGTTAGATCTATCTATATTATCCATTTAAATGTTCTGTATTTTTTTCTGAGGTATATGTGTCTGAGGGTTAGTGAGCCAATTTCTTTTTATTGCTGATCCACTGTCATCAACTTTGTAAGAAAATCTAATTTATTCCACTCAAAAATGTTATGCTCATGACCAAAGTACGACGAATGATGAAAAGGGGTGCCCCCTTTTCTTCAAGCGAAACCCAAACACTCTAGCACCGTGTGGCAATTTTTTTTGGAGACTATACAGGACAGAGCATGGAGAGACAGCCAAGAGAGACAGTCCCGCCCTCTCTATACATCTTGTCTATGGTAACACCAGGACCCTGTGGTTGCCCCTGTCTGCCTGACATCGTGACATCTTGTCACAATGAGCCCCAAATGTGCCGTGTCTGAGTTTCAGGCCAACTATAATAATGATGTCAGTGAACAAATATAATTGTTCCGTAGGTTTAGCAAAGTTTATAAAGAACAGAAATGGGACCTGGTATGTTTCACATGCAAGTTTGCACTAATACACAGCCAGCCATTATACACAGCAGCAGGCTCTGACAGAGGTGACAGCAGTGGAGGAACTACCGCCGGTGTCCGGGGCCCCGCACTGCCAACGGGCTTCTCAGTGAGGGGGCGGGTCCTGTGATTTGCCTCCCCTCACGGCCGCGTCCATAGTAACAGGCGGGAGGAGGGGAGGTGAGTCACAGGAGACATGTGTGTGTCACACGCTCCGCCCCCTGCAGTGCACACATCGACACATGGCTGCTGCTATCCAGGCATGGTGAGCCCAAGCAGGGCGAGTCTGAGCGTGGGAAGGGGGGGGTGGAGGGGGGCTCTTACTTTATGTAATTAGACAAGTGGATTATAATGGGCAATATTACACTTTAATGTTCCCTATTATAATCTATTTCTCTGTTGTGTACTGCTATTTCATGTAATTAGACAAATGGATTATAATGGGGAATATTACACTGTAATGTTCCCTATTATAATCTATTTCTCTGTTGTGTACTGCTATTTCATGTAATTAGACAAATGGATTATAATGGGGAATATTACACTGTAATGTTCCCTATTATAATCTATTTCTCTGTTGTGTACTGCTATTTCATGTAATTAGACAAATGGATTATAATGGGGAATATTACACTGTAATGTTCCCTATTATAATCTATTTATCTGATTAAATGATTTCAGACAGGCCTCTGTTCTATCACAGTTTGAGACTACGTTAGAATGTGTGACCAGTGACGTGGTCACACATTTTAACGTAATCTCGCCCAGTTTTTCCGGAGGTGGAATAGGTGAAAGTTTGTATTCTCCACATCAGTCATCAACCCTGGAGCCCCTCACCATGTATAGGTGAGAAATCTAGGTGACACATACACACCATCCACCATCTTGCCAGCCAATGCCTCACAAGTAGGTATGCAATGTGTGTAAATAGTAAATTGTAGCGAATAGTTATTGTAAACAATATACTAAAGGAGTAATGTAATTAAATACTTTTGTAACTTCAGATTTCCAATAATATTCGACATCCTGATGAAATCAATTGGAATCATGTTTCGCTCTGCCTTATGAATGGAGGTGGAGTAAGAGCATCGATTGATGAAAGAACAAGCAATGGTATGTATTTTCATACATAAGATTTTTTTTGCTGGAAATTAAATATTTCTCATATAAAAGGTTGTGTGTTTGCCATCGATAAAGCAGACAGCTCAGAGTTAAAGTAATACTATATATTGCCTAACTCAACAGATTTGAAATGTACACAGCATAGAAATAGAGCTGGCAACTTGAGAAGTTGTATTCATTTTTATACAATAGGATATAATCAGATGCAGATAATAGGTAAGGGTTATAGTTAGAGACTTCTTGAAAGAAAACCATGTACAATAACAAGAGTTTCTTATAATCAGAAGCACTCATTATCATCCTCTAGAGAAGCCTCACAGGTCAAACTGAATTATGCCAGGATCAGGCCATATTTGTCCAATGTTAGGTGCCTTAATGACATTTTGAAATGCTAAAGTGAAGAGAGAATACTCTAAAGTTTGAAAACAAGAGAGATTTATACTTTATTTAAAGTCAGATGCAATGTTCATGTAGTGATTTTCCAACCCACATGCTCTGCTCACCAGGGTTATACCTGGGCTGTCACACCAAATGGCCCTTCCGACTAAATCTAGAGTCATTTAATCTGGTTACTGACCTAGACAGATTTTAAGATTTGGTGGGTTTATGAAATAACATTATTCAAATACAACAGGGTTGCCTTGACTTTGAAAATGCATGCTCCTCCATAGGCCTATATTCATATATGCAAGAAGCTGTGAGGGAATGCCTCTGATTTGTTAACATTGGTCCATGTGTCCAGCAGTAGGGGTAAATATAACCTTACATTTAGCTGGGCACTGGAGGTTCAGATCCAGTTGTCAGGTTAGGGATAGACTGGTCCCTACTTTTTAAAGGACCTGTTAGATGCAATAGGTAAGTTGTATATTACTCCCCCTCCCACCAAATTCCAGTTTCCTGGGTACCAAAGGTATAGAGGAACCTCATGCTTATCAACACTAGGATACTGTTGTGGAAGCGTGAACCATGAGATATTGGGGTAGTATTAACATATTGGGGGACCTATATGCTTGCACCCTATTGCTATAAAGATACCGCCACATGTTGATATCTTTTGTGAGAGAGAAGCATTTTTTATTATTAAAAGCCTGTAAACTGAAGGTTCTATTAGCAGACCAATACAGATCTGCTGCCAATCAACCAGGCAGATCTGAGTCAGATCTTGAAACCCTTTTATTTTTTTGATCACTTTATTTACAAAGTATTACATTATTAATACTATTATACAGAATGTATATAGCGCCAACACAGCGCTTTACAAAATGGGGGAGACAGTACAGTTACAATACATTCTCAGTACAATAGGGTTAGAAGGGCCCTGCTCATGACAGCTTATATTACATAGTTATTCAGGTTGAAAAAAAAAACCTGTGTCCATTGAATTCAACCAGTAGACAAAAATAAATTATAACGCTGCATCCACAGATCCCAAAACTACAGGAAGGCACAAACCTCTTATAAAGCATGGTCTGATTTGTCAGTGGGAACACAATGCTTCCCTGATCCACTAAGGAAATTCGATACTCCCTGAATCAACAATCTGTGGTCTCATTACTTATATTAAAGCGGACCTAGCCCCCTTTGACTAATAATATCAGCATACAGCTCTGCATGCTGATATGAAATCGTCTTACATTCATTAGCTAACAAACATATTTTTATTTTACCTACAATTTATTTTTTTCTACCTCCTGGTCCACCTTGGCACAAATGATGTAATTGTGCCAAAGCATTGCATCCTGGGAAGGTTACATAAACAGAGCATTGCTGAGAAATCTCATCTGTAATCTCATAAGATCTCAGGGAAAGGCATTTTCCTACCCTGAGATGATGTACATGGTCACATGTGCCAGAGTTCCAAGAAGTAAGGGGAGATCTAGTAACCTGACCTTTGTTAAAATGGCCACTGTCAGAAGACTGGGGAAGTAAAGAGAGATAAGGTATGCAAAAAAAAATAAAAGCCAGCAAATATCTAGAAGTATGTGTTTTGTAGATTGTTACATACATAATTAGTCAGGTTGAAAAAAGACACATGTCCATCGAGTTCAACCTATAGAGAAATGAAAAAAAACATGACTAAACATTTCTAAAGGTGCCTTTGTTGTTATTTTGAAGAAATAAGTAAAGGTCCACTTTAATAGCCAGTTGTATTCTGTGCAGTTGTCTAGTATTAGCTAAAGAAGCCTTTTAGTTATGTGGAGGTTAAAAGAGAACTATGGGGTAAGTCTTTTTCCCCATAGTTCTCTTAAGCATCACAGGAGGACATAAACTAACGTCCTTCCGTGACCCAAAGCTCAGTATATCGCAAGCTACAGCTCGCGGTATACTGAGACCGCCACAGCCGGGACGGATCCCGACATTACTGTCAAAATCCACCCAGCTGCGTGAGTGACAGCTGGCTCTGCCTATCTAGAGACAGAGACAGCTGTACCCGCCCCCTCCCCCGTCCATTCCTCCAGTCAGCGCTGGAGAATCGGAGCGGGGATGGGGGAATCCCTGCAGGGAACCATGACTGACAGTCACCGATCTCTGCAGTGAGATGATCGAGAAGTGAGTGAGCGACGCTATGTGTTCGCTCACTTCCCGATCTATTAAGCCGATGTGTGACAGCTTCTTTGTCACACGTCGGCTCGAATTTTTGATTTTCACTCACCTCATAGTTCTCCTTTAAACCTCTTTTCCAGCAGACCCAAAGCACTTCTCGTTTCCAAGAACCTTAAAGTGAAATCTTTGCTTTCACTATATGGACAATTTATGTATTTATTCAAGGTAATCATATCCCTCTTATTGCCTCTTCTCAAGGGAGAACAAATTCAGCTTAGTTAATCTTCCTTTAAAGCTGAGGTCCTCCATGTCCTTTAACAATTTAGTTAGCTGCACTCTCTCCAGTTTCACAACATCCTTTATTATCTGAATACAGTAAATCATGTTTATAGAGCATATTCATTAGTACTTAATTATCATTGATTGTCAGTATTGTATATACAATAATCATTTTACATTTATTAATTTACTTGAAAAATGATGTGGGGAATTTTAAGTACTTAGCAGAAATGTTTTATGAGGAAGGGGAAACAAGGACATAACTGTTAAATTACTTCATCAAACCTGTACAAATAAAAAGTTTGCTGTTTCTTGTTTTATATGCAGACATCAAAATACAACAATATTTTCTGTGCTATTCATTTCTCACAGTGATTTCTTGTAAAAGTTAGTCATTTTTAGTCAATTTAGTATCTTGTTTTTTTTCCTGGCCTTGCCTTGGAAATGTTGATAACTTTACTATTCCAGCACGTCACCTCCTTTAACAAACAAACCAATGCTCTTGGCATCCTACTTTCTATCCCTGATATGAGTTTTTAAGGGAAAGTTTGTAAACCATCTCTAGGGAACTTATATAGATTACTCTTTAAAGTTTTTAAGTTACTATGTTACATTAAAAAAACATGTATGCTGGCTAGTATGGGCCAAGGATTACAATAACAATTTGAGACTTGTTTAAAGCCTAACTGAAGTCACAGAAATAGATGTGCAGTCAGATACACAATATACTAGCAACCTCCATTTTTATAGTCTTACTACCGCTTTCCTGTTACAGCACTTGTGCAATGTGTCTAAATATAATTATGCACTGCAATAAGCACTAGAGCTTGCTTGCGCTGCCCAATCTAACATACCCGGTCAGACATGCCCTTGCTCTGGTCAGACATGTCCCCTCTCTAGTAAGACATGACCATTTTCTTTTTTAGCACTACAAGTCTGTATGAGGACACTTTTGAGTAAGGGTATGACCCTTACTCTTCATGCCAGCATAGATCACTGTGGGAGGGCAGGAAAGTGTGATCAGGGTGGCACAGTGGGTAGCACTTCTGCCTTGCAGCACTGAGGGTCACCGGTTCAAGTGGTTTTGCATGCTCTTCCTGTGCTTGCATGGGTTTCCTCTACAACCCAAAGACATGCTGGAAGGTTAATTGGCTCCTTTCTAAATCGTCCCTATATGGATGTATGTGAGATATGGACAGGGACTGATGTGAATGTTTACACAAGGTGAAGCACTGCAAAATTGTTGGTGCTATATACTGTAAATACCTGTACAGTAATAAATAAATAAATAAGAAATACTTCAGTTGGACTTTAAAACAAACCTTTAGGGCTCATGCACAAGAGCATATACGATCTTGCCAGAAGTTGACAGAAAGATCCTGTGTAAGTAGTTGTCCATACACTGTACGCATTTTTCTTTTATGCAACATTTACATGTGTACAGGATAAATAGACCCACTTGAAATGCCACTGCTCAGGGTCAACAGGTAAATATCGACAATGTGTAGCCAGCACCACCACTGCTGCTGATTACACACTGTTTTTTACATGTGGGCTCTTTCATTCATGCGGTGGTGATAATGTGTTGGCACCTTGGCCGATAAATGGTTGAATGACTGAAATTCACCACATGAATTACTCACTGGGGCTGATATGTTAACATCAACAGTTTGCATTCAGCAGTGGCAGCACCACTGGCTTCACATTGCTGGTATTTGTATGTCGGCCCTGAGCAGCGGCCAATAGAGCCTGTGTGAATGAAACTACGTTGGACAAATTAACAGATTTGCTTTACAGGACGCAGTTTTAGCAGTTTCCACTTCTCCTCCATAGTGAAAAACATCTTTTTGATGACAACAGTGGCTTAGTAACTAAGGTGGCATAGGTGGTAATTACATTCAGGACATAATTCAAGTAGGCTTATGTTTGGTTTTCATTTCACCAGAGGAAGCATCAACATATGTTTATCAGCTAAAATGAGCTTTATATATTTAAAAATCTGTAATGATGCATAGTGCAAAATATAGGTGTTATTAATATTAAAGCACTCCTAATGTTTTCATTAACCCTCATATATGTGTAAAAACACTGGAAGTAAAAATGAGGGGTTTATTGTGAGCTGGTCCTTAACCTGATATAAAGACAACTTAGAAGTATCAAAGGGACTTGAAAAGTTTTATGTAGTAATCTTTAGAAATGTGTTACCTGTTTTGTATTTGTAGAGGAGATAGAAAGAATCAGGAATTTATGATTACAGCGAGTAAAGTATCATTTGGTACAAGTTTATGAAGTTATTGTATCTTGTTTCTAAACTTGTTATGATCTGTAAATAAATAGAAACAAATGTTTGCATATTGTATTTCTTTCTTATCTACCTGGAGGGAGAAGTTATATGGGTAGTGTTTGTTTTAGAACTGTTTATATTATTGCATGTTGAGATAATATTCATGTCCCCACTTGGATGCCTTTTTAAATTGAGTGATAAAAGGGTAGAATTTGAATTTCTGTTTGTGTCCTTATAGTGTATGCTGGTGAAATCATAAACCTCTAACAAATGGACAAAAACTGAGAGGAGGTCTCTCCAACGGGGTCATAGAATTCAATGAATCACCAACAGCTCTCCTAACTCTTGCACAATTCTATCCAATTGAAAAAAAACTGTGAGCAGGAGGAGGCCTTTAAGATGCCTTACTTAAATAGGCCTGATCAGGGCAAAGTGACTGCACTTGCTAATAGCCCAGCCTTCCGTGGACTTTTATACTTACTATACTGCACTCCTGCAACACCTTCCTCATGCCTGGAAGCCCCACTTTGTTGGTGAGGGGCTCGGCAGTGTGGTGAGGTGGTGCAGAAGCATGGTTCAGTAAATGTACCTGCATGGTGGGTTGGGATATCTGTACACACTGTGATGTTTTTTGAATGGGTCAAAAGGCAGTCTCTTTAAAGTGTTTTCCTATTTTACACTGAGGGGGTTATTCACAAAGCAGCCGAAGTGAAGTGCGCCGAACGCTGTTTAGCTATTCACTGCGGTTTTGTACAGCTGATTTCAGCCGTATATCAGCTAAAATCATCCGTACATCGGCTGCCTTTGGTCAGCTGAACATGCTCTGCCGAAGTGCAGAAGAAGCTCGACTCAGCCGATCCAACCTCTGGATCGGCTGAACCCAAGCTCCGGCAGCTCACTCGCTGCCGTGTTCAGCAGTACTTTATACAGAAATGCTATTGTTATATAAAGTATTGCTGGGATGTGTAGTCCTCTATAGCCTGTGCCATTCTGTATTGCTGTAAATATTAGGGCTGCACCATATATTGTCCGCCAAAACATATTGGCCGAAAATGGCACTTTTGGCATAATGCCGAAAGTGCAATTTTTCTGCTGATACAGCGGTGCATCCGTGCTTTCTTTTTCCCCCGCTGGACGCTGCTCCGTCTCCCAGCGCGAAGGAGAGAAAGTGACAGCCGGCCAAGCGCTGGGGAAGGAGAACGCTGTGTTTGTGGGGGGGGTTTTGGGGGGGAGGGGCCAAAAAACATCTTGCACCAGGGCCCTTTGTTCCTTAGCTCCGCCACTGAATAGCAGGCTCGGCTATTCTGCTCGGTACCTCTTCTAGCAGGTCCCGGTCAATAAATAGCAACTGGGCGGAGCGGGCCGTGACGTCCAGTTGTTATTGTTTAATGACAAATCAGCTTCCCCATGTCATTTGGGGGTGCTGATCTGTCATTACAACTGGGCGGAGACAGCTGTGAGATCACGGCTGGCTCTGCCCATCTGTCATTTGCGTGGCAGGCCAGTACAGGCCAAAGGATCAGCCGAATGCTACGGCTGGATCCTTCGGCTGTTTAGTGAATAACCCCCTAAATATTAATTGTTGAAACATGGGTTTTTAATACAAAATACTTTGCCATTTATTCTGATGACTTATGAGAAGAGGTCAGGTGGGGATCCAAATGGGTTTCAATAGACACAGCAGTGTTTTTTTCCTTCTTTTTTTTTCCTTCACTTGAGCTGAAAAATTAAACGTATGATCAAGGTTTGATAACTGCATCAATAATTCCTTACAATAAGGATAAATAATAAAAAATGTCATTTGATTCACAGGTAGCATAACTACTGAAGACTTGCTATCAGTGTTACCTTTTGGAGGTACATTTGATCTGATTGAAGTTAAAGGGTCTACCCTGAAAAGGGCATTTGAGCACAGTGTACACCGCTACGGTGCTAGTACTGGAGAGTTCCTGCAAGTGGGTGGTATGTTGATTTTCTTACAGTAATATCAATGTGTAATGACAATGTGTAAGATCCATTTTACTTTTGCTTTAGTTTTTTTTTTTCGTTTCTTTTACTTTTTCCCTATAATGTAAAAACCTACAGTTTGCTAAATTGTATTGAGTATGGTGCACACTACCATTAGAGGAAGGCAGGTTTAGACCGGTTGGCATTTTTTAGCTGTATGTTACATAATTCTCTTGTCAGTGTAGCAGTAAATAATACTGACATCACCAGTCAGAACACATGTATGGTTTTAAATTTAGACATTTCAGGGATATCCTCTAATAAGCCTAGCAGTATGAGACAGCTTTTGTTGTCCAGCTTTCCATATATGAATGTAGTGTTTTGTCTGTATAATTCTGTGTGTTTGATGCAATGGAGAAACAAGCCTAAAATACTGTCAACCCCCTTTGAGGACATACCTACATTTTCGTTATAGTTCTTTTTCAAAACCTTACATTTATTTTTCCAGTAAATTATATTCTGTTTCTAATAGTATAGTAATTTTACCAAGTAGCCTATATTTGTTTCTTTCTTTTGCAGGAATCAGAGTGGTGTATAATTTAGATAGAAAACCTTGGCAGAGAGTCGTCAAATTAGAAGCTATCTGCACCAAATGCAGGGTACCGAAATATGTTCCAGTGGAAAATGACCAAGTTTATAAAGTTGCTCTTCCAGCCTTCCTTGCTGAGGGGGGAGATGGGTTTACTATGTTAAAAAATGAAAGCCTGAGGCATGACAGTGGTAAGTTTAAAACAAATCATATACATGGTGCACTCATGTGATCAAAACATTAATCTGCAAGTGAAATTTGTATGGGGGTTACATAGTTACATAGTATTTGAGGTTGAATAAAGACATTAGTCCATCAAGTCCAACCTATTAGGATCTCATTCTAGGAGTACCTGTACCCCTGTATATTACGCTCCCTTAAGAAATCGTCCAAAGTTTCTTGAACAATTCCACATTCTTTGCTGAAATCACCGCCTGTGGCAGTGAGTTCCAGACCCTAACCGCTCTAACTGTAAAGAACTCCCTTCGCCCCTTGTGCTGGAATTTTTTTTCCACCAATTTTAGGTGGTGGCCAATAGTTTTTGTAATGGAGTTAATTTGAAACTTGGGATCCTACCAGTCATTAAGGAGTCCTTAAAAATGAGGATTAATGGGCTAGTTATAACCTGGCCTAATTCCTGGTGAATTCTGAATTTGTCAGTCATTATATACTTACAAACCTTGTAGCTATACAGTAAAGAATAGTTAATTAAAACCTTTTTAATCCAGGGCCCTTGCCTTTCCTTAAAAAAAATAAAGAAAACAGAACCATTGCAGAAAAAAATGATAAAAATATACATGTTATATATGTTGTGAGGCATAGGCATACTGAACAATGCTGTGCAATCAAATCTAAAAAGGGGCCACACATACAGGGAAGGTGGTAAACATGGTATTTTAAGCAGATTTGTGTTTATCTTGTAGACCTTTGTGGTCTTTAATAACCATGTGCAAACCATATGAAACCAGTGTGTCTCATAGAATGTCCATGCTGCAGTATACAGTATACAAAAAGAAATAAAAGCCTAATAAATTCATTTATAAAACAAAGAAAAAAATGTGTGTCGCTGTGAAATGAGACGGGCTTAGAGATGGTTTTGGCAGTAAAGGGTGCTTGAGACCCCAGAACAGGTAGCTGTGGAGAAGATTCCAATAAAGGACAGAGGGGCTTGCTGCAATTTAGAGATACTGCAGACACTCTCTGTTGTTCCTGTTGACTGCTCAAGCATGAGCGTGGACACATGGGGATCCCGAGTCCAAACCTCTCCGGCCTAAACAGACAGGTCGCAGAGCCGGAATGACATCTGAGAGCTGGAGATTGAGGCAAACAACAGTAGCCCATGTGTTATGAGGTTGAACAGGCTAGAGGTCTAGTCTGATGAGTAATGGAACCAGTTCAGCAGAGAGGCTAAGCGAGGCAGAGGAAATAGACAGAGCCATGAAGCAAATAACATTTCTGTTTGTTGTTTTCCTAAACGACCCTGCATGGGTAGAACACTGTGTTACTTTTCTTTTTGGATGCATAAAAGCAGCGAAAAGCCCTAAAATGCCTTCTGTTAAGTGGACTGAACCTACTGAACCTTTCCATTTTAAGCTAATTCTCACAATATATTTATATATAATAAAAGAAATATACAGCACATCATTATGTGCTGCCCGGCTTCCTGATTGGTCAGGAAGCCAGGCTGCCTAGCAACAAGTAAAGCTAGCTTTTTAGCCAATCAGAAAGCCGGGAGGTGGGTCATGACCTGCCGCTTGGTTTCCTGATTGGCCGGGAAGCGGGCTCCATGCTTCCTCGCGGTACTGCCGGTCAGAGAGAGTTCCGCTATTGGGGCTAAGTATCGGAGCATTTGGGCAAGTACGAGTACTCGCCCAAATACTCGGTATCGGCAACGATACTAGTATTAGTATCGGTGCATCCCTAGCAGTCATAATTGAATTAATCATTTAGTAAAATGTAGCTTGACATAAACACATGCACACTTTCTCACTGTTTGACTTGGATTGTTGCCTTTGTTTTTTTCTCCCCAGGGGATCTTGATATTGCAGTTGTTAGAAGTTACATTCATAAAATGTTACGGGTTTACCCTGCAGTAGAAGGGAGGATTGTGTTTATCACTGAAGACTCTTGCCGGTCATCAGCACATTTGACTCATATGAACTACCCACTGGTTTCCATCACAGCTCTTCTGGTGTTGCTACAACGATTATTCTGAATAATAGTAATTTTTTAGCAGAAGCATGAAAACACAATATTTTAAGAAACTGAGTGAAATCAAGCCATCAAATGGATTTTATCCACTTCAAGACACAAAATGAACTTATTGACATGGAGGCCACTTGCGAGATGTCACGGGCTCATAGTTGTGGTGTGAAGATAAGTAAAGATTGGAATCATTTTATAAACTTTTTTCATTCATCAGTGCATTGCTACAATATTAAAAAGCTACATTAACAATACGATACACTCTAAATAAGCAGCTGCCTAGATAGCCAAGAACACAGGACTTGCTGGCTGGATATTTCATATTACTCATTGCTTTTCCTGCTGCCCACACTTTGTAAAGTGGCTTAAGCTTTCCAATTACAGAAGACAAGGAACCATTCCAAACCAGAGTATATTTGCCAAGTTGCTTCCTGGAATAGAGAAAACAAAAATGAATATAGCTGTAATGGATATAATGGGTATAATGGAAATGGAAAAAAAGAGAAAAGCAAAATAAAAACAATTGCACTATTTTAGAACTTGTATTTTGGAATAACACTAGAGTATGCATGGTGATTTTCCTTTTTTACCTTATGTTCCTCATTGAAAGTTGTCAGTTTGTCATTGAAAGTTTACAGTAATGCCAGCCATACATGAATCAATGTGAATGTTCAACACAAAAATTGTATCAGAATTGTATTTTTATGAAATCAACTGGCAGTTTGATCATAAATGATCATTTTTTGTTGAAAAAGGACAGTCCTTCCTGGGGGGGGGAATTCTACTGGATTCAACCAAATCAACGTCTTATTTGTTGTGCACAGGGCTAAATTAACCATTAAGCAAAATAAGCAGATGCTTAGGGCACCAAGGGAAGAGTTTTACCCCTAGCTATCATGCCCTAATTTGCAGTCAAATTTGAAAAAGCCCCACTATAAGTTTGTATTACTATTTACACAGCCTACCTAGGACGTATTTCTTATTTTGTAGATGTTTCTTTGGAGCAGGCCTATAGATGTGCTTAAAATCCACATATGTCAAAAACAATGACTTGTCCCCACGATTTTTAAAGCATAATTTTCTGTGATTAAGTGCATATTTTCAACCCAAAATGCCCCTTGCAAATGATTGGTTTGGTTGCAATCTGATCAATCCTCCAAACTTTGCCTTTAGTTGTGAATAAATCCAATGTTTTTGGGGTGGAATGGGTAGAGCTGAATGGAATGTACAGTTTACATGGTCCTGATCCACTCTTTTCAAGTCTTGGTGCAATCCACTTCTGGGAACAGCAGACAGTTTTTGCCTCATTCACATAAAAATCTGTATGAATCTATAGAAATCTCTGCCATGAGGAAAAGTGCAAAAGCTGGCCCCTGGTCCTGGAAATGACCCCAGAGCTGCTGTACTTGCTTCTCCATCATGCGTCCTGAGGATCTCCATATTTTCTGGGATGTGTGAGGGATGTGTGTCCTCAATCCACAAAGCAAAGAGATGGTATAAATACACCTGGCTGTACTCATCAATTCCTAACTGTACAGGTACTAGCGCAGGGGTAGCCAAACTCCGGCCCTCCAGCTGTGGTAAAACTACCATTCCCATGAGGCATTGCAAGATTCCCACAGCCACAGGCATGACACCCAGAGACAGATGCATCATGGGATTTGTAGTTTCAGCACAGCTGGAGGGCCGGAGTTTGTTTACCCCTGTACTAGCGTATCAGCTCTGCTAATAACAAGTTTCCACACTTCAGTTTGTACTGCAAGGTTCAAACTTTTGCACCCAGTGATATGTTTGCCACCTACTCTATCTGCCATTGATTTAAACTGGTACCAGTAGAATTTAGTTTAGTTTTTTTTTACTTTACTCGTGAACAAATTAAAGGAGCAGCATGGAAAAATTTTAACAAACGCACAAAATACACAGAATGTGCTTTTTGTTTGGGAAACTCCATTCATTTCCAACATCAAATGTTAAAATCAAACAAAATTTCAAACAACATTTGTTAAGTCTCTGATGTCATCATCAAATGTTCTGATGAGAGTTTTCATGAACGTTTGTATGAAAATCTACCAGTGTTTGGCCAACTTTAGTCAGATGTCTGTCACAAGCTGATCATATTTACATTGCAGGAAGGTGTGGTGAGTAGCTGATATATTGCTGGGCACACCTCTGAAAGATGTAAAGATATATATTTCTGGCTCCTGTTGTATATACTGAGGTACGCAGAGCTTAAAGCCCAATGTTAGCAAAGGGGGCAACATAAGCCAGTAGCTGCCACTCTGCCACAAACTTTGGGTTCTAGCCTTTTGCCTAGATCATCTAATGATAGCTGACTCTCTGCCAGGAGGCAGATTGGCAAAGAAATCTGGCAAAGTGCCACATACAGTAAGATAAATGCAATCAGTAGTACATGTCCCAAACTTTACAATACCCTGAACAAACAAAATGGTATAACAATAGTAGCCAGTGTGCCCTTGTACATCATAAGGTTCATCATAAGTGACACTTAACTCAGGTCATAAAACTTAAAAATGCATTCAAGTACCGTAACTATTAGGAAAAATGTAGCTTATATGTGTATCACTCAGCTGTAAATCCTCAAATCATCTCTGAATTGGTGCTGACACTGTCCTTCCTCTTGGAGGGTGATAGACTACAATCTCAATACAAATTAGTAAACTAAACGTGATATTGTGGTCCATCACAGGGTTGAGCTTGGTGTGCTGGCTACTGCACAACACACAGGGACCATGGAGAACAAAAGTATCCACCCTCCAGAAGGAAGGACAGTGTCAGCACCAATTCAGAGATGATTTGGGGATCTACAGCCGAGTGATACACAAATAATGGAAAGCAGAAATCAACAGCACTCAGTAAATATCTTTGATGTCCATTTAATCGGACCAGTTGTCATGTACAAAATAGCGACGTTTCGGGACCGCACAGGATCCCTTCATCAGGGTGACAATGTAACAAGATTTCTGCTTTCCACTGTTTGTTGCATGGTGCCATCCGTGATTGTCACTGCGAGCACCACTACAAGTACTTGGGCCGGGAGCGCTGTGAGGAGTGCAGAGGGACTTACTATTTTCTATGATACACAAATAAGACACATTTTTGTTAATAAAACTTTCCTTCTTCCTTTGCCCTTTTTTCTTTTTTAAGGCACTTGAATCCATGTTTAAGATTTAACTCGAGTTTAGTGTCATTTTAAAAGCCAATGGCATTTAAAGCTGAACTCCAGGCAAACAGCTAAATACACAGATACAAAACATATAAGGGAGCGGTTTACCCACCAAAGGGTTTGTATTTCTGTCCATCTAGTCCATCACAAAGCACAGTATTGTCTGCTAGGACAGGAGGCCTGATGTTTCTCTGCTGCAGTTAAATAACACTTACAGGTCCTGTCCCTTCCCATTCTGACTGGACAGTGAAAGGAGAAGCAGCAGAAGGATGAGCTCATCACTTGGTCACTATAGCGTCTCCTCATAAAATTTTGTCTTTTATATGTGCCTGGAGTTTTTAAGGGAAGGCAGAAAAGCCCATTGCTGTGCGTCAGTAATAGTGAAAGACATTTTTATCTTCCATTGCTGCTACTGAATATTGCCCATATAGGTTAACCCTTATTCCACTAGAGGAATACATTTTGACATCCAGTCATGTAGCAGCTCTCATTTTAGAATTATGTATAGACTCATGTATAGATAGATTTAACATTTTGTAATTTCATTGACTATAGCCATCAATAATTCTGGGCCAGTTTAAGATCTTGCACGTGAGGTCCTCCCGCCTTTGATTGTGCCTAACTGTATTTTCACTGTTTAGTACTTAAATACATTGAGTTTCTATGTATCTGAACTTTGTGTCATTTCTACAATTGCCATTGAGCTGTGACTATGAAGTCATTTAGACGATTTTCTGACTTTTCTTTATTTTTTTAAATACAGTGTTTATTTTTACAGCTTTGGATCTTTACTGCTGTTCTTCCCCTCATGTTGTATATACCTCATGTATTTGTACCAAAGGAACATCAACTGGAATAAAGCTGTCTTGGTGTCTGTAATTTATGTTTGGAAACCATTAGCGTGAAACTAGCACATGTAGCATCCGTAATATAAATGTCCCATCATTCTGGAAAATTCGTCTTGGAACTATCTTTTTGCTCTGCAGGAGTCTGTAAGTAGATAGGCCAAGATATTTGAACAGAAAACAATGTTGTCTTTATACGATGTTCACTTTAGAAGCTGGGCAGATAATTAACCACTTGAAGTCTGCGGTGTTAAACCCCCTTCCCATTCAGGCCATTTTTCATTATTCAGCGCTTCAGTACTTTGACTGACATTTATTCCGTCATGCAACGCTGTACTGAAATACATTTTATACCAGTTTTTGGGGACAGATAGAGCTTTATTTTGGTGGTATTTAATCACCACTACGGTATTTATTTTTTACTATATTAAGGGAAAATTACCGAAATTAAAAAAAAAACGGTTTCCCCTATATTAAATGATAAAACATTTATTATTACCCAATTTTTTGGTAAAATATAAAAGACGGGGTCACGTCGGGTAAAAAGACACCAAACATGTCAAGCCTTGTGCACGCGAAACCTCAAAAAACGATAATACCCAAAATTGGCCATAGGCGACGCTTTAAAAGCTTTTACCGCTCATCAGTTTAGTGTTATCAGTGATTGATGGCCCTAAAATGATTGCTCTCACTGCGACATTCGCGGCGATATGTAACATGTGTAGCGCAATTGTC